GATACCGCCGCATCTAGCCCCGCAACTGGAAGAGCATGTGTGAAGTCCTTTGATATGTCCGCGGTTCCTACGAATGGGTACAGTTATAACTCAGGGGGCACCATGTTCGCCTTCGGTCTGCGTAATGAGGTTGCGCTCGCCTTCGATCCAAATGGTCATGCTTGGGGTGCTGAGAATAGCGGTGATGATTTCAGGAGGACTGTGAATGGACAGGCAACTGATATTCATATTGATAACCCTGCAGAAGAGCTGAATTACTGTGAGTTGACCATTTCCGCTTGTTACAAGAAGTGAACGACTGGATTCGAGAATTGACACGCACGCATCAGTGGGAGATCCCGAAAGCCCTCGAACTCCAAACTGGTTTGGCTATCCAACCTGTTTCACAGTTTGGGAGCCTGAGCTCTTCAAAGATACCACCTCTCTCACAACCGGCTCGCAGTTCGTCGTTTCCCCTAACAGCACTTTCAGCGATACATCCTGCACAGGTCTCTCCAACCCACCGCGCCTTTCCTTTCCCGCGCACACAGCACCAATAACAAACGTGTTTGACAAGAACGCAACGAACATGTACATCACGTTCCACGGGTCCTGGGACAGACAGCCGGCGAACGGCTATTTCCTCGTGGAGGTCCCGTTCATGCAGACAGAGGAGGGACTGTATGACCCTGTTGCTCCGGCGGATAGTAAGACGGGGTACAAGACGATCTTGAGTGCCCAGAACCCTGGATCGTGCAACGCGGGCAATTGTTGGAGACCCGCAGGTTTGGCTTGGGATTTGATGGGGGAGAGATTGTTGTTTAGTAGTGATAATGGGGTGGATGGAGAGATTTTTGTGGTGAGCAAGAAGTAACCTGATCTCATATGGAAGCTTTCATGTTTTGTTCGAGGAACAGCCTCCTTTTCACCCACAAATGCTCATATGGAATCACTCCGTCTATCGAAACTTTGGAGTACTTTCATTCTTTCAAATCTAATATTTGCCTCATACCTAATCAGGGCCCTAGATGATATCTTTATACATACATGTAGTAGAGGAAGTCATCTTGATATCGCTCTCTGCACTCATCAAGTCGAAGGTTGGCAGTCTGCTATTGGATCCCTGTACCATCTAATCCGCAGCTCTCCAGACCCCAGTACTTGCCCGCTGCCCCGCTACTAGCCCAGAGCTTCACCTCACGTTGATCTCAACCAGTCCATCCTTCAATATCCCAAGGTCATCTGATTTCATCTTCTTCGCGCAGCACGACCTCGACATACACAACGTCAATCTAGTCGCGAACACCCAATGGAAACTGCCCGCGGCCCAGATCGATCATAAACCGACAGCACCCCATACCAGCTGCCTCCCATCCTCCCATCTCTTCTACAACATCTCCAACACCAATCTGCTCGCCAATAAAATCACAATGTCCCAAAAAATAACCTCCAAAAACCTCCACTACGACACGACCCTCCCACCCTTTCTCGCGCGTCTAAAAGGCCAACAGTCATCCCACACCGGACCCGATCCAATCCTCGCCTCGCACAGACGACCAGGCCAAAAGCGCTCCGCGAGCGAAGAAGCCGAGGATGCGCCTCTAGTCGTCGACGAGGAGGGGAATGTCGTCGACCTCCCCACCACCGAAAAACCCCCCACGGATAGGGACCAGATGGACAGTAAAGCAGAAGACGAGGAACAGAGCAATCAGCACGATGTCGAGAAGGAGAAAAGCGCAGCAATAGGCATCTCCAGAAAACGCAAAGTCGGACGCGTGATAGGCGCAGGCGAGGAGACGAAGTCGAAGGAAGAAAAAGATAAAGATGCGGAGGATCAGATGGCGAAGGCTTCTGCGGATGTTAGGCGGTTGATGGGGGAGAGTGGAGATGCGAGTAAAGAGAAGGAGAAGGAGAGACAGACGCCGAAGAAGAAGAAGGCTAAGAAGATCAAGCTTAGTTTTGGGGATGATGGGGATTGAGTGCTTATTGGAGAGGGGCAATGGGAAATAGGAGATTGCAAGATCAAGATCTGAAGATCTGGATGATCGAAAAAGCGATCAGACCGGGACTCCTCATATCGGCGAGCTCGAGGACGACTCATGACCTATCTGGAGCTGGAGGCAGGAAAACAGAGCAATGGATGCTAATCTAGCGACACAACCCGTCAACCTAGGATCCTGGAAGGACAAGGCAATACCGTATCTACCTGCTATAAGAGCAAATGCCAGACCCTAGATCCAAGCTCAGCGGCTCTCGCGCCGATAAGGCAGAAAGAGCGCGGTCTGAAGGAGAACTGAAGCTCGATAGGCTTGAACAAAAGCCTATGGCTAGGTACCAACCAACCACATCGCTACCCGCGAGGCTCTGGTGTTGTGAGAGAAGCCTTAGGACTATGGACATGGCTTGGGTCCTTACACGCAATATGGAGCGAAGGAGCGAATGCGAAGACATCGTCAGGCTCCGTATAGGTCTTAAATGCCGGCTACCTGACCTGTACCTAATATATGGTAGGGGGAACAAGACTTGAGTCAATAATAGCATATTCTGAGTGCGAAGCTGTGGTAATATTCCAGCAATAAATGAAGTATTCAACACCAGATTGGACATGATCGAAATCGCGTAGAAATTGCTTTTTCAATATAACATACTATATACAGTACTATTATTACGAGACCGTTCGAATGCAGCGCGCCCATGCTCAATACAAATGCTGTGAGGCCCGAGTAAACACCGAGTTGTTACTCTTTTCCCTGATAGCCCATGGCGCAGAGTGCTGGACCATCCAGACCCTTTTGTAACAGAGCCCATGCTCTTCCCCTTTATTAAGGTACCTCTAGTAATCCACCCAAAACGCCATGCTCATGCCCATGCTATGTCCAAGTACCATCTCCAGTTTTATCTCTCACTTTCTCTTACACCAGACTCCGTTCCTCCCGAACAGGTCCCGATGAACATCGGCTTCCCGCATTCTAGTACCGAGAAAGCCTGTTGGGAGAATGCGAGTGATCGTAAGGGCTCGATTGGCCAAATGGATCGTCCTGGTAGATGGTCTGGCGTCGCTCGTCTTCGGGCAGCAGCTCCTTGACTTCCCAGTTGTTCATGCGGGTGCCTACGGAGAACTCGAGATCTTCTTTGGTGATGGAGTCCCAGTACTGCAAGAAATGATTAGTATCGCGGTTAAGGGTTGGAGCTTGTAGGGGGGGTAAAACATACCTTATACACCATCATAACGGCTAGCAGGTTACCTACCGTAGCAAGAACGAGACCATCGATATAATGGCTTGTTCTGTTGCAAATGGTAGAGCTCAGGGCATAAAGCAGAACCTGACCAAGGACGAAGAAGAACACGCCGAAAGCCAGGTTGCCGAGCGGCCAGTGGTCTTCCAGAGTCTGGACCACGAGCAACACCTGTAGGACAATGTAGATGACGAGTTGAATACCATTCAGTAGGTAAACCACAACGAAGAGTCCTACAGTGTTGGTGGGAGCAAGACCGGCCCAACTTTTAAATGTTGCGAGAGAGACGAAGAACGAGATGAGCCAGGCAGCGAATGAAGACAGGCGAAGCATCCATAGGGACAAAGGCGTTCCGTCCTCATATAGCTGGAACCCAACGAAGCCGTTGATGAGAAGACAAGTGACGAGTGCCGAGGTGAAGCCGTTCTGTATCGACACGAAGTACGGGTAAGGGTCGGAGCCTACGGGCACGACACCGGCGTCCACGAGCAGCGATATGAAGGTCAGGGTTAGGAAGAGGTAGAAGAATGTGAGAATCTCCTTTCTTCCGACTGCTGTGAACTTGCCCCGGATGTGTAGGATCATGACAACGGTCATGGTCAAGGCGATGATGTGGAGGAAGGACGAGGCACCCTGGAAGATGATGGTGTTGGCGAGCTCGATGTTTCGGGCGAAGCATTCGGTCTGGATGCCGGGGCTCTGGGAGCCGGAGTTGATGGGACCGACCGAGGCACACAGCGGCAGCGGTGCCGTGTGGCAGAGGTCTGTGAAGTCCCCGAAGCCTCCCATCGTGTCCAGGCTGTCACTATGAGGTCGTAGACTCGGATCGGTTGAGGGTGATGGGTTGTCGGCAGTAGCAGCGAGGGTACTCGTTTCGGTACGGAGTCGAGTTCGACGGTCGATAAATGGAGGAGACCTTGACAGTTGTCGGATATGTCGAAGCGAGCGAACAAAGCAAGGCGGGTTGTGAGTGAGGCGATGACTTGGTCGGCGAATGGTGATATTATCGAAGCGAGAGTGTATATGGAGAAGCAGTTAAGTGTCTTGTGTATGTGCTGGTGGTATTATTAGACTGGTATGAAACAACCATTAAAGAAACGAATGACGATAGATAGCCTGGCCAGGGATCAAAGTGGTAACGAGCAGACAATGCACAATACTATGGCATCACGGACGGTGGAGGGGTGGGACACCGTTGCTCGGCCAAACACAGGATCAACGAGCGGATGACTTGGAAGTCGGGGCTGGATTGTTGGAAGGGGTGGAAGATGCAGGACGGGGAGTTGGCGATGGGTTGCAGTGGTTGCATCTGGTTGCTACGGAAAAGGGAGAAAACAGTGGATCGTCTTGACGCCCGAACGCCTGGAAGATCCCTGATGGCGCATCGACATGCACCAATCCGATTGGGGGCGGGCGGCATTCTTTGCTGTTCTGAAGCTACCTTACCTACCCGTGCAGAGCCCCTGGGGCCTCGTTCAGCACTGGTCAAGTCCCCTGAAGAAAAGTCCACGTCGACGGCGCCCGTCTGCTAGCCGCAGCTCGTATTTCCCCTCGGGCATCTCATGCGTAGGTGGCTATGAGTGGGCACCTTCCGCTTCGAGACAATACGAGTCTCGGCATCTTAGCCTAAAAAACAGCTCTGACACTAACCAGAAGGAAACTAATAAAAGACAGTCCGACGAACATTGTGACAGATTGGCGGGACGCAGATCACAATAGCTGATTTCGGCGAGCTCACTAGGGGTATGTGCTCTATAAGCTATGATACGAGATAATTCAAACAAGGCAAGATGGCCGAGAGGTTTAAGGCGGCAGTTTTAAGCACTGCTGGGGCAACCTTCGTGGGTTCGAATCCCACTCTTGTCATGAATCATTTCTTTTGCACTTTTGAGCGATTTTTATTTTGCTCCATTGTGTTGTTTTTCTTGCTTCTCTTTACATGATTAATGTTCAACTTCCCGGTCTGCGTTCAGCGGCCTGTACATCGCTTTACTTTGTAGTCGAAGTGGCTTGATATCAGCTCGATGTTTTGGGAAAGAGTGATGATGGACACAAACAACAACCGATGCTTTAACTGTTTGATTCTGCTATGAGGTCTCATATTATCATTTCTTGATCGCCTGTTTCTCCATTTGCGTCACCTCCTTCGTCATCATCGTCATCTAGGTCGAAGATGGGGTATGTAAGTAAAGCAGCGATGCCACCCAGTGCATCTAACCGCTGTCCGCTCTCATGGTCGCTGCTGAGGATTCTAACCTCTCCGCCATCTTCCTTCACCTTATCTACCATGGAAACGTAGCGCTTCCGCGTTGCAATATCCAAGCTTCGGAATAACGAGTTATTGACCAGCAGAACGCCGCCTCCTGGCCCGACTGCTCCTTCCTTGACAGCCTTCTCCACCGGGTTCGTTCCGTACCAGGCCCGGCCATCGTCCTCCCGGATCCTCTTGAAAAAATCGTCCATGAACCTCGTCTCTTTGGAAAACTTCATATCCTTCATGGTGGCCAGGACCTCGGCGCTCTTGAGGATCTCGTTCAGGCTGTGCAGGTGACCAGAGCTCGAGTGTACCACGGTGGCCTGCTTCGCTATGGCAGTCAGCGACTTGTCAGCTCTCCGCGTGCCTTCGTCTGATATGTATTTCTTGAAGTCGCCTGCCACAAAGCCAGGACTAGCTAATAGAAGTGGTCGGGACACGGAGAAGTCGATGCTTCGTATTAAGGTGGACAGTGTCTTCTCGAAGAAGCGCTTCATTCCCGAGTCTTGATCTGAACTGGCTGATCGCTTCTTGGGTATTGTGCTCTCGACGCGCTGTTTGAGGATGGTGCGGAACTCGGTGATCAGGCAGATGTTGGCGATTCCCTCTTGCATGACGACTGCTGCGACAGCGCCGTCTTTGTCCTGTTTTATGGCATCTTGTAGGGTGTCTCTGGCAACTGAGTCCCAGCCGTACTTCTTCCAGAGTGTGAAGGGTCTGTTGAGCTCGAGATCGAGGGTATGGTATTGGCCGATGTTGACAAAAGCATTCTCGACTATGACGGTGCCCGAGACGTGAAGGGAAGAGGCGGCGGGATCGAAGAATGTCGAGGTGACTCGGATGGTGAGGTCGGTGTGAACGCGCTCGGAACTGGTACTGCCTGTCTTGGACTCGGTGACGACTTTCCGTATGGCGTGGGCTTTGATTACGTCTTGTGCGCCGATGAGGTTGTTCGCATGCCACTACACGAAGGGAATATTAGCTTATGAGGGACGTAAAGAGTCGCAAAGTCTGGAGAAGACAAGGGAAGCCTTACCATGTCTTCTGGATCGGTAGGGAGGAGGGTCAAACTACCCTCGCCCACCTCCTCCAGGCGCTGTGATGACTTGGAGCCGACAAGCTGCATGATGGCAGTTTGCAGACCACAATCCTACTGCACTGCGTACAGGTGCTTACAAGCCAGTCGCTTCAGGTCAGATGGGCGTAACTTCTCAAGACAAGCCAAGAGACCCGGATGCGCGACAGAGATATGAGCTCAAACACGCAGCGATAGCGATAGGAAACAGATTTTGATATACAGAGTTCACCACAATAGCGATTGCTTAAGTGGCAGCGCTGAATGAGATCATTGAGATTGAATTCCATTGTTACCTAACCGTCACTAATGGGACTTGCCCCGCCAATGGACCCCGCGCCATCAGCCCCCGTCACATTGTAGGTTTGCCGGCTCTCGTGTACATAGATATATCATAGAACCGGTGTTCAGGGCAGATCTTCTTCAATGGATGCGATTAGCTTTCTACAACCTCCGGCGTAGCAGTGGAAGCTACTAGGAGGGCACTACTCTAGGCACGCTGGCGTTACAGTTATAAACTGTGATATGCTTCAAATCAAGTAGGTTATCGCGCTGTATACATGTATTGCGACCATAGGTACAGTCGTAAACTCTACATGTATGTATGTATTTGAGTCTTTTGATTTGGCAACTAGAACTTGTAATTTCCCTATCTCATAGTTCACGACGACGCTAGCCTATCAGGCTGCCCCTATATGCATTGGTCAAGCTCCAGCATGGTTTCCGACCGGCAACACCTCTTCCCATTCAGCTGAATATCGTGATATTGATTGAACCACATCCCCGAGACTAACACTATGAAACATTCCGTGATCTAAGAGGATCCCTGTAAGGAGCCGTCAACAGCGTTGTTGGCGCTCGAGGTGTGACCTACCGTAGCAATAGAATGGCCCTACTGACTGAAGCAAGGCATGAGTACCTTAAGGTAGGTACATAAGTAATCACGAATTCGCTTCTTTCTGTCGAAGATGCATCTTGCATACCTACATAGATACTCAATTCGCTGGACATGTGCTGTGGGTGAAGGATGCAGTTCGGGTTTCTGTGGCTCTTTCTCCTCGCTGGATGTCAGGGTGGGTTGATATCTCTGCTTTCACTTACACACTTTATCAGCTGCGTAGACTTACAAGATGGATAGAATCGTGCTTGAAACAAGCTATCGATTGGACAACATATCTTCGTTTTAACAGCAAAATATTTGGCGGCCGCCACCATCCTTTTACTGAAACCTCATAAGCAGTCCACCTGCATACCAAGGATGGCGTTCTCGATCTCTTCAAAGCCAGCTATCACCACATCGATTCCGCAGCCGCGATGAGAACAAGGAATGCTGCGCCGATGCTATTCGCGTTGGGAGAATTCTAATGCCCATGCATCTTCCTGACTTCCAAGAACCCCGCCAGGGAGACCAACGAGTACATCGTACACGTAGATCGCTATTGGCAAACTGCGGGATGGCGTCCGATATACTAGTAGTTCACCATATGTAATAAGGTAGAACATAGAAACAGTAGATATTGAGCTCTTTTAGCACACATATGCTATTGCACCGCTGTTTGAAGGGGAAGATAAATCGAGCCTGATCTACCCAATCCCTGCGCCATCATGCTTATTGATAACCCTCGACAACATCAACCTCCGTATTCCGATTCTTCATAAAATGTGCGAATTCCTTATCTGTCGGCGTATATTAGCCACCTCTCGCCATTGCTAGCCCACTGCACGATCACCTTCACCTCTGAGCGAGGCAGATCCGACTTACAACTTAGTTTCCCCTCCCCATCAATACTGTTGAGCAGCCCCTCAACCTCAACATCGTCCACAGGCTCCCCGAGATCTGCCATAAGCTGGCGGAATTGGCTAGCTGTTATGGACCCGTTGAGTGAGGGCTCGTAGGCTTTCCACGCGTGGGCGTATTCCTCGGTTTCTGAGGGTTGAGGCGCGTAGGGCTGGCCCGTCATCATTGTTATGAATTCTGAGCGTTGTCAGATACAAGACCGTAAAGATATAACTAGGAGGGGCCTTAGCTAGGAGGGGAAACAAAGTACCGTTGAAATTAATCTGTCCATCACCGTCGAGATCGACTTCTCGGATGATTTGCTCGACTTCTTCCCGTGAGGGAGGAGAACCTGGGCGTGCGGACATCACTTGGGCGAATTCTTCGACTGAGATGTTTCCTGTTGGGCTTCATTATGAGTCTCTATATCTGCTTTCTTGGGGCGAAGTATGTCTTGTCATATTTGACTGACCGCCTTTATCTGTGTCCTATTTGTTGTTAGGATGGTGGCCAATGGAGGATGAGATGACAAGCGGGTGACTTACGTATGAGTCGAACAGCTGTTTGAAGACTGCTATTTCTTCGTTCGATAGTGTTCTCGCCTGCAAGTGACATTAGATTATACACCTAAATTTCGATATTGAACTTGTACCATTGTGGTATTGTTGTTGATTTTGATTTAGGTTATGAGCCGGTGATGGAAACGATGACTTTTTTCATTGCTGAGTTGTGAATCATCTGAAGTCGTAATGCGAGAGCTCTCTCTTAAAATATGTTTGCTCATTCATTGCGAGTACATGGCAGAAACGCGTTGACACGATGAAACGCTAGTTGTGTTGCAGCCCGAGACCCCTACCTCCCACCCCCTTCAGGATTCGCGTGATCGTCGCTGGGACCCTCCACTCGGATTGTTCCATGGCCATTAGCCGCCACGAACGGCGATACTGTCGATGTCTTGTTTAGGTCATTAATCAAGTGTGTATTACACGCATGTATGTTTACAGAGTTGACGACTACTAGTCAACTTGGTGGCGTTAAGCATAGAGAGTCATTGAAAGTGAGCGTTGAAAAAATCGGAACTCATCTCAGAACTTCTCGGTGCGGCTGATAATACAATTCTTTCTTCATGTCCCTGTTAGAGCCGCTGGTAACATGTATATCTTCACTGGCTTTACAAATCTTCGATGCATGTATGAAATATGATAAGTGCGGCAACACGATAAATGTGGCAACGTGATTGTAAGTTCATATTTCTCCTGGTTTAGAAAGCGAGGTCTCATCAACATGATAGGTACAGTAAATTGCTTAGTTTAGCGCGGACGTACCACCTACATAAAAATTCGGATATGGAAAGAAGCTTTGGCGAGACGCATGACTATGCAGTTGGTTGTCGAATTTGCTTTTCGGCGTTGACGGATCAAATCACAAGAATGAGAAAACAACTGAGGAACTACAGATGTTAGTGATAGGGTGGTAGATAATGAAAGTATTCAATGCTTGGGCTTTGAAAAGGTGTTTATGTGTCGATTGCTTGATCGTGATGTGTATGGTAGCTGAAAGATGTGAGACGCGATGCGAGGTCGGTAAACCAAGGCGAGGTATAGCGTGCGATTATTCCCACGTGTAAGAAAAGAGCATGTGGACTTATACCTTCATGTTACACATGAGGTAGGAGCATTGCTAACGAAAAGTCGGGCAGTGGGCAGGTGCGTGAAGTGAGCTTCAGCATCAACATGCTCACGTGGGGAGCTCCTTATCTA